AAAGGGGCTTCTGACCGCTGAGCCCTGCTAACCTGGGGCCAGCCCCTTGCCACCTGGGGACGCAGGTCAGCCTTTTCCCCCCAGCAGCTCCACAAATTAACCCCAGCCTCACCTCCAGCCAAGGCCAGGGAGGCCAGGAGCCTGCCCAGGGCCACACGGCTGTCGCCCTCTGCTCAGGCACTCAGACAGCCCGCCGCGTGCTCGGTCCTCACACTGGTGGATGAAGAGGCCCAGGCCAGCCAGGGAGGGACCACGGGTGGGGCCAGGCACCTTTGGACAAGTGCCCTCACCTCACACTCTGCCTCAGTTTCCCTACCTGCCAAAAGGGCCTCTTTGCTCTGATGCTGAAAGGACTTCGGGGCCTGGTGCCAAGTAGACACTGGGTCCCCCTCGCCTCGTGGGAAGGGGCGAGGGGAGGGGAGTCGGCCCCCTTCCAGCAGGGCCCCTCCTGGCTCCAAGGCCCTGCCTAGGCGGGAAAGGCCCCACTTGGCCTTGGAGTCTCTAATTAGAGCTGCGTTACTATGGAAACAGGGTTTTCTTCAAGATTTTTCTTTTCGTCAACAGCAGCACAGAAAACCTGAGTCACGGGCCCACAGGAGCCAGGAGATGCGGAGGCTCCTCCACTGAGCCCACGGGCACAGCCCCCGCCAGAGACTCCTGGGCTCCTGTCTGCCCTCCCTGACACCCCCCATGGTGGCTTCCCCTGTGCCCAGCTTCCCACCCCCACTCAGGCCTCAGCAGTTCTCAAATTCCCCTGGCATGTTCAAAGCAGGCGCCCCCCACCTCATTTAGAGGAGGGAGCCTGGAATCATCTATGGCTTCCCCTCCCCTCCCGCCTTTCCAGTCGGCTTACAACTACCTGACCATTTTAAAATCCTCCTCCCTTTTTACACAAGCCATTCTCTGGCCTTGGAATGTCCCACCTCTTGGGGAGAACTCTTATACATCCTGCAAAGCCCAGTGAGACCAGCCCTTCTTCATCCAGCTAGTCCCAAGGTAGCTGAGACAGAGCACCTCTCGAGCCACCCCTGCAGGCCAGGTCCTAGGCCCAGTGGGGAGCCCCCAGGCGCAAGAAGGGTGGCAGGAGAAGACACTGACCGCTAGGAGACAAGACAAGACGGGAAGTGTGTTAAGTCGTGTCTCAGGGTCTGGCCCCGGGCAGGCGAGGATCCTGGGGAGCAGGGAGGAGACCCCACTCGGGCCATGAGGTGGAAGGACAAAGGAGTGCTCACTCAGCCCAGCCTGGCTGAAAGAACCAGGCCGGCCCAAGGGGGCCTGGGGCCCACCATTTACAGATGGGTAAACTGAGGCTGGGGAGCAGGCTGCAGCTTCTTCCGGTGGCACCCCGCCCCCACCGGCCCAGCCTGCACAGGCCTGCGGGGATGATTCACATCCCCCAGCTGGCTAAGCCCCGTCCTCCTCCTTCCTGGCTGGCGTTTCCCAACACATGTGTCGGAAGCACAGACACCGCCCCCTTGCCACGCAGGCCCGGCCAAAATGGCTCCGCAGACACGCCCCCACTCCCACTGCATGCAGACTCCTGTTCGGAGGCCCGGGGGTTGGCTGACAAGGACCCCGAGATCTGAGGCCGCTGGAGCCCCAGCCTCAGCCCCCGAAGCTCCCAGCCCCTAGTTCCATGTCCCTCTAAACTCAAAGATGAGCCAACACCTCTCCTGGCTCCAGGTTCTCTCGGCTCCTGCCCCATCAGCCTGAATCACGGCCGTGACGCCTCCAGTAAGCGTTACTAGAGGGGGGATCTGCCCAGGCTCGCTGCTCCTTCCTGACCCCAGGACCAAGGCCATCTGCTTCTGCCTCATCTGCCACGCCACCCCAACCCTGCAGGCAGAAGCATGTCTCTGCACTGATGATGACCTATGACAGGTCCTGCGACCCTGCTGGCCCCTCCCGGGCATCTTCCACCCTCACAAGCTTCCTCCCAGCCACGCTGAGCTTCCTGTGCCTTCCTGCCTCAGGGCCTTTGCACAGGCTACACCCTCTGCCTGCAACGCTGTCCCACACACCTGATACCTGCTATACCTTCTATCCACCCAGCTCAAACTTCCTTCTGAGAAAGGAACCCTCATCTAATCTGGGAGTCTGAGGTATTTCTTGTACCCCCAGTCCTTTCCTTGACCCCTCATCACGTCCCTGAGGATGTAAGCCCCACTCTCGGCTCACCACTCTTGGCTCAGCGTGTCCTGTCAGCAGGGGTGCGGGACTGCTGCACAAGTGGGGGATTCTGACCCACCCCTCACGGCGTGGGGAGGGGAAAGGGAAGCTGAGGGGCATCAGGGTCCAAATAAGACCCATTCTTCAATCAAACGTGCCCAGTTCTGCATGCTGCTTACTTGCTGTCACTTGCTGTGTGACCTAGGGCAGGTGACTTCACTTCTCTGGGCGGTAACAGAAGAAACTCAGACACAAAACAGCCATCACCCCACCCAGGCCTCCACATTCACCGCCCCACTACCGTGGGGATCTAGCCCCTTCTGCAGAGCCCAGAGCCAAGAGGGTGGCCACCGGGAGGCTCCTTCCATGGGGAGGGGAGGCAGGGGACCGGTGATTGGCTCCATCCAGCTATCTCCAAGGCCTGGGGTCCAACTTCCCATCCTGGGGCGCAAGGTCCCCACAGGCCCCTCTGGCGGGGCCCTGGCGCGGCATCAACAGCCTTTCCGCACAGGAGTGGCAGAGCCGCCGGAAGGCGGAGCGGGGCCTGGGGGAGGGTCTGAGAGAGGACTGGGCGAGGGGCTCACTTCTGGCCTGCGCACAGGCTGCGCAAATGGCCGTGCCTGCGGGAGGACCCGGAGGGGAAGGATCGAATTGCAGTCAATTGTTCCCGGCGAGGGCCCTAGGGATGGGTTCACTCGAGGGTAGGGGCTTCCCTAGGGAACCAGGCCGGGGTCTCCCAGGTCGCGCTGAGGCTGCCCTCGGTCGCCAGCGGAGCGCAGCGCAGCACACCAGCCCGAGACGCGCGCGGCGGGCGCAGGGCGGGGTGCCTGGCGGGCAGCCATCCGCGCCACGCCGTTCCCGGCCACGACGCGAGGAGGGAGGCCACCTCCTAGGGAGCCTCCGGACCCCGCACTGGGACAGGGCCTAGGGCCGGCACGGGGGGCTCCTCTGCAGGGGGGCCCGCAAAAGCCAATCCCCTCCCCCGCCCCGCCGCATCTGGTTTTCCCATCGGCAGAGACCGAGCAGGACAAAGGGGGTGAGGGAGGACCCAGTCGAGGCGACCCGCCCCCCTCCTCACAAAGGCCGCGGCCTCTAGCGCAGGGCAGACGCGGGAGGAGGGGCTGGGGGGAAGGGTAGACACTCCGGGAGCCCCCCAGCGGGGCCGACCCCGCCCGGCAGCGGGAGGAGGCGGAGGAAGGCCGGGCGGGCTGGGGGTGGAAGCGCACCCTGCAGCGATCAAAGGCCCCGCTAAGCTCCCCCACCCAGCCCGCGAAAGGCGGCCGGTGGGGGGTGGGCGCGCGCCCAGAGCGTGAGACGACCCTCGCCTCCGCCCCAGAGCTAAGGCCCGCCGAGAGGGGACGAGGGGTGGGGACGAGGAAATGGGCAAGGGGCGCCCCCTCCCCACGAGCTGGGACCGCCCATCCGAGGGATCCGCGCGCAGCGGGGCGAACTCAGATTGGGCTGGGTTCGGAGGGTGGCACCCACAGCTGCGCCTACGCCGGGCCTAGAGAGCCCACGCCCCAGCCCAACTGGGAGGTGTGCAGGGGCGCCCGAGGATGGGCAAAGCCCATCGCCCCCTCGCCCCCGCTCCAGACAGGAGCACACGTCCCGCGGCGGGGCGGGGTGGCCACTGCGCCTAGCGGGGGCACACCGGGCGCCACTCGGGACAGCAGCGGCGCCGCGGGCGAGAAAGGGCGGGAGGCTGGAGGGCCGCGGCTGGGGTGCGCTTTGTGCATGGACCGGGAGAGGCGGGGTCAGCGTCCCCACTCACCCTGGCGCGTGGACACGTTCCTCTCATTGGCCGCCTGCAGCACGACCTGGGCGCAGCTCTGCTCGAGGGCGAAGAGCTCGTCCTTGCCCACCTTGGTGGCTTTGCCCGCCTTGAGCGTGCCGCTGGGCCCCGACGGCGCCAGGTAGCGGCCGTCGCAGTCGCGGAAGGCCACCTTGCCGGAGCGGAACTCCAGCGTGTAGCCGGTGGCGGGCTCGGGGCGCGCCACCAGGCGCCCGTCGTGGCGCAGGAAGCGGTGGTCGGCCGTCTGCACGCTGTAGCGCTGGTCCTGGAAGGCGAGCGTGATGAGCGAGTCGACGCCCCAGGGCACGTCGCGGTCCACTGCGATCTCGTCGGCGGGCCGCGCGCTCAGGTGCGCGTAGCGCTTGCGGGTCAGGCTGTAGATGTTGACCTGCGGGTGCATGGCGATGTGCACGCTCCATTTCTCGGCCGGCGACACGGTCTGCGCGAAGCACGACAGGCGGTCCTCGGTGCCGCCGAAGTAGCGCCGGTGCGCCTCGGACTGCAGCGACCAGCGGCCGTCGTCATGCGCCACGATGAGGAAGCGGCAGTCGGCGTCGGGCACCTCGCGCTCGCAGGTCACGTTGCCGTCCTTGTCCGCCGCCAGGTAGCGGCCCAGGTGGCTGCGCAGGCACACGGCCGCGCTGCCCGCCTCGTCGGGCGGCTGCTCCAGGGTCCAGATCTGCTTCTTCTTCAGGCTGCTGGCCGACGCGTTCACCTTGAAGCCGAACGCCTCGGCCGTCAGGTACTTGTTGCCGCAGTTGATGAGGCCGAACTGGATCTGCACCGCCTCGGCCGTGCCGTTGGCGGTCATGGTGGCTGCGGGCGGGAGGCCGGCGCGGCCCCGGGCGGTCGGTGGCGGGTCCCCGCGGCAGCGCCCCTGCTCCTTTGTTCGGCGGCCGCGGCCCGCGCTCACCCTCCGCAGCGCTCCACAAAGCCGGCCCGCGGCGCCGGCCGCTTTATAAGCGGGGTGACGTCAGCGCCGCCAGGCCCCGCCCCGGCCCGGGCTCGGCGGGGAGGGGCGGGGGCCGAGGGAGCGGGCTCTGCGGCGCTGGGGCCCGAGGGGCGCGGGGGGCGCTGGGCTCCGGCGTCCCCTCTTCTGCTCACCGGATCTCTGCGGCCGCCCAGTGCCATCGCCCCACCCCGCAGCGCCGCCGCCTGCGGGCTCGCCCCCAGCTCCTAGCGACAGACGCCCACCCCTCGGACGCTCCCCACCCCAGCCTAGCCGGGAGGAAGGACAAGCCAGGCCTGGGGTCAGGACGGAGACCGCGGGGACCACAGTGCAGATCCGTGCTGGGTGAGGCGCGGGCCTTAGAGCGGAGCCTTGAAGGCACCGACAGGCAGACAGGTAGGAGAGGCTGGGAGGGCCCGGTGGGGACCGGGTCAGGCCAGGAGCTGGGGCGGGGCCTGCGGACCCAACACACCCAGCCCAGAGAGTCTCTGAGGCCTTGCAGCCTGGCGCAGGGCCCCCGAGCCCTCCCTGTGGCCCAGACACCCGCCCGGATGGCCCACTGGATGTCGGTGGTGGCCGAGTTAGTGGCCAGTGTTCCCATTCTGGTGATGCATAGGCCAGAGCTCTGGTTCCACAAGGCAGCGGGCGGGCAGGCAGGGCAGGCGGTACTGTTCTCTTTTTAGGAGACGCATTGGAGAGGTGGGACAACTCTGTCCGAGCTCAGCCCTGAGCATCAGAGCCCAGGTGGCTAGTTCTAAGGCCAGTGTGCCTTCCACACCCCCCAGCCCCAACCAAAGCCCCAATTTCATGAGACTATGAGCTGGGCACACAGAAGGGACGTGGCTCTGGTGACAGTCCCCCATCCTCAGGACCCCAGCTCTCCATCCTCCTCCCTCAAAGGGGACATTCCATACAGACACCACTTCCCACCCCTCACTCACCCACCCCATCTAGGAACACTTCCCTTTTGCTGAGCCTCTCTGGAGGCTGAGACTTTTCCTGGGACATTCCCCACATGCCAAGCAGGCCCCTGGAATGCCAGCATGACCACTGGCTGCCCACAAGGTCTCAGGCTGGGGCCCTTCCCAGGCCTGCTAACACTGAGCTAGCCCCAGTCCCCAGCCTGTCCCTCTGACAACTGGATTGTTCTGGCTGGTCTGCAGCCTGCGCCTGCCCCCAGGCAGTCCCTCCCAGGGTTTTGCAATGAGGAGGAGAAGATGGTGGCACCGTCTCCCCATCCTGGCTCAAATGGGTTTCCTGGCAGGGCCTTGAGCCCCAGACCAGGCAGGACCCTAGCATCCCACAGAACCCACCCCCTGGAGAGCCAGGAAATCAAAAGTTTGTCCAGCCTTGTGTGGTGGCTCACGCCTGTAATCCTAGCATTCTGGGAGGCCGAGGCGGGAGGATGGCTCAAGGTCAGGAGTTGAAACCAGCTCTGAGCAAGAGCGAGAACCCGTCTCTACTATTGGCCAAATAATATATATACAAAAAATTAGCCGGGCATGGTGGCACATGCCTGTAGTCCCAGCTACTCAGGAGGCTGAGGCAGCAGGATCGCTTGAGCCCAGGAGTTTGAGGTTGCTGTGAGCTAGGTTGACGCCACGGCACTCACTCTAGCCTGGGCAACAAAGCGAGACTCTGTCTCAAAAAAGAAAAAAAAAAAAGTTTGTCCATTTGAGCTTCTCTAATGGGTCGTGCAGACCTAGGCTTGAAACCCAGCAGCTCATGGGCTGTGTGACTTTGGGCAAGTTACTTAACCTCTCTGAGCATCCATTTCCACTGTTGCAGATGAGCTACAAATATGGTCAGAGCTCACTAAATGCCAGCTGCTTTATTATTCACTTAACAACACTGACCAGGGGGTCCTGGGGACACAGACAGTCTGCACGATGCTTTATCCCCAATCCACCAGGAGCGCCAAGCTCTGTGCATGTTTTTTGAGAATGTGAAAATCAATGGAGTTGGGGAGTGGGCTCCAGTGGGGGCATGTTGGACTCCCCGCAGGACAAGGGTAGTCCAGGTCGCATGAGCAAAATGGAGGCTTCGGTGTTAAGGAAAACTCAAAAGGGAGGCTGGTGAGGCCATCTGGGGTCAGTGTGTGAAGAATTGGGGTTAATTTCAACAGATGTGGAACCAAAGCCTTTAGTATCCTTCTTTCATTTTTTTCTTGCAAACAGACAATACATTGGCACAGTTCAAATATCAAAACCCAGAAAAAGGCCTTCATCCATCCATTCCCACCCACCACCTCGACAGTTGCTGTTAGGGTTGTTTCTTGTGTTTCCTTTCTCTAAATAAAGACAAGCAAACGTGGGTATATTAAATGCATTCTTATTTTTCTCTCCATTTTTAAACAGGATTTTTAGTCCTGCTTTTTTTTACTTGAAGTAGCTGAGTGCAGTTTCTGCTTGACTACGTATGCAACTTCTTCGTTCTCTTTTGCAGTGGCGTGATGTTCCCTTGCACGAATGTCCCTTGGTTTGTTTAACTGTGCCATTCTAGGGGACACTTGGGTTGTTGCTACTAATGCCATGGCCAGAACCCCCTCTGAGAGTTAAGCCCTCCACCACAAACCAACGTGTTCTTGTGCTTCTCTTTTCCTGGCCCTGGGCCATACACTATATAAAAAATCAAGGCTATCCATTCCAGGCTTGAATGCCTCTGGTGATGGGGAGCTCACTATGTCCTCTGTCCATGGCCAATGCAGGTGATAGGTATTTGCCCTGCTCTAGATTGGGTGGCGATTTGGGCATCAGGGAGCCCAGGCAAACAGCTGCTGCCAGGACAGAGGAGTGTCCTTGTGGACAGGGCAAGCTCCAGGTGGCTGTCTCATGACCACAGAGCCTTGGCTGGGGGGAAAAGAGTATCTTGGTTTTTACTATTATTATTAACTATTAATGGAAAGCCAATATAGGAACCAAGTAAGTCTCAGGCAAGTTTAGCAAAGGAACATTTTCAAAGCTTATTCCTGCTGTGCACCACGCTGTGTCCCTCCCTCCTCCCGCCTCCCCCAATGTCAGTGACACTGGGCACCTGTGTGTCCCGTGTAGGACGCACTGCCCCAGAGCAAGTCACACAGTCCATTCTGCAGGCCCCCCGCCTCAGGTCCCTTAGAAGAAAGGACAGGGACACGAACACTGTGTCCCTCGGCCCCATGGGAGCCCAAGTGCCACCTGAGCCACTCTGGAAGGAGGGCATGGCACGGAGAGAACTGAAGTGCTTGGATGAGGCCAGGCCTGAGCCGCTCCCGGGCAGGCCACGGGGCGCAGGCAGTGTGCCCCGAGGGGAAACCAGCCAGCAGGAGGGGCTGCTCCGCTCCACCCAGACGCTTCTCCCCAGCCGGGCAGTCTGAGGGATCCCCGGGACCCCGCTGACAGAGCAGGGACAGACTCCCCAAAGGGCACAGCTCCTTCAGACGTAGGTGCTTTCCTGGGGCTTGGCTGTGTCCTCTTCCTCGCCGGGGCTCCCCTCACTGCAGCGCAGTCTCACGCCTCCTCGCCTCTGGTGGCTCCGCCGGCTTTCCTAGAAGCCTCATGTCACACCTACTCGGAGCTCCACAGCTTTTCTAGGCCCTGGTGCTGCACGTGGTCTTGACTGGTCCAAAGACCAGGATTTGGGGTTTGTGGGCGCCTCAAATTGCAGCCCCTCTTGAAGCTTCCTTCATCTGTGCAAGGGTGGGGGCGGGGTGGCCCTGAGTTCTGATGCCATCCCGGGAGCTTCCTGCCCAGTGTCACCAATTAGAGCTGAGCAACCCAAAGTGAGTCCCAAGTCCCTTCTGAGCCTCAGTTTCCCGTCTCTCAAAGGGAGATAAGTGTGGCTGGCCCAGGCGTGTATACGGGACCGGAAATGCCGTCCATGTTCCAAACGCACAGATGTCAGAGGCTCAGCCCTGCATAAATGACCGGCCTCATGGCCGAGAGCCTGTCAATGGTGTCTTTGTTGCTCTGCGGCCAGTGACTCTGTGGCACCCTCGAGGCAGCCTGGTACTGCCAGCAACCCCCCAGGGGAGCCTCGAGAGTGGGAGGGGCTGATTCCAGGGCGGGAGTCCTGCCAGGCCTGGCCTCCCAGCCAACCACGGAGCCCCAGGACAGCTGTGCCCTCCGGGGCCCCAGGCCACGGCCCAGCACTGTCAGCTAGGGCCAAGGAGGGCAGGAGCAGGCTGTCACCCTCACTGCCCCATCTCCACAAACGTCCCTGCCAATTTCTGGTTGCAAGGCCTTGGGGTTACAAATGGAGAAACTGAGGCCTGGACACAAGAAACAGGGTCTGGCCCAGCTTTAAGGAAGGACATGCAATGTTGGAAAGTCCAGGCTCATGGCTCTCATCAGATTTGCAAAGAGATTTGTGGACACCCCCCCACCCTAAACTGTAAACTTTCAAAGACAGGAACCAAGGCTGGGCACGGTGGCTCACGCCTGTAATCCTAGCACTCTGGGAGGCCGAGGCTGGCGGATTGCTAGAGGTCAGGAGTTCGAAACCAGCCTGAGCAAGAGCGAGACCCCGTCTCTACTATAAATAAAAAGAAATTAATTGGCCAACTAATATATATAGAAAAAATTAGCCAGGCATGGTAGCACACGCCTGTAGTCCCCGCTACTCGGGAGGCTGAGGCAGAAGGATTGCTTGAGCCCAGGAGATTGAGGTTGCTGTGAGCTAGGCTGACGCCACGGCACTCACTCTAGCCTGGGCAACAAAGCGAGACTCTGTCTTAAAAAAAACAAAGACAGGAACCAAGCCTGTGGGTCCCTAAGTGACCTCTCCTGGGCAGGGGGGAGTCCTGGAGGGCTTTCAGGAGGAGGTGATGCCTTCAACAGGTGAGTAAGAGTCCAGGGGGCGGAGCCTGGCAGGGCTGGATCCGAGGAATGAAGGCGGCTCTGCCTGGTGTCTGGCACTGAAAACGCGTCCCTGGAAATCATTTCTGTTTCTATCAGCCCGATGATGATGCCCTGAGGTAAAGGCCCACATTGACCCCAGTGGGCAGCTCAGAGGCCACGTCGCCAGGCCAGGGCACCCGCACCTGGCCGTCCTAGTCCTGGTGTGGGCGATGCTGGTCCAGCTCCAAGCCCGGGTGTGTCACAGCGAGGCTGTGGCGGCCGGTGCTGGGCAAGTGCCCGGCTAATTAAAAAGGCATTAGCGCCCCAGGCAGAACCCGGCTCCTGCCAAGATGTCCTTGCCAGGAGAGGGGCCACCGGCTGGTGCCAGGCCTTGGCCTCCCCTACCTGGCCACCACCCATCCCGCTCCCCCGAGGCCCTGGGGCCGAACCCCAGGGATCTCCTCATCCCTGCACTGTGCCCAGAAACCTCAGCCTCCACCTGCCTCCTGCCTCTGGCCTCGGGCCCCCACCTGCCATTTGTTCACCCCTAATGGAACCCTCCCTGCTGCGAGTGCTGCAAGC